CCTACCCCCACCACTTCCTTGCCTCTAGACTAATTAATTAATTGAAATTAATTAATTAAACAAACATTAAAGTTTACACCTTAGCGCCATAGTGCCATTGGGCCATAGTGCCATAGTGCCTTAGTTCCTTAGCGGCAGGCAGCTCCCATAACCATCTCAATAGTGCACTCTGCACTAAAAATCCTCCATGCTGGACCGCAAGTTGCACAGTGCAACAAACACAAAAAACGAACTCGCGCCTGTCAAGCTTGACTTTCCTTTGTTTGGGATGTCCCAGTGCATACATTACTTGCCAAAAATTTTGGACGATTAATTTTTGGACACTTTATCGCATTTCGGACAAATTTCGGCCAATTCACTGAAACATAACTCAAGCAAAGTTACGCCTACAAAACGCGAATGATACAGAAACAACATGGGTGGAAATGATAGTTTTCCCATAACCTCATGGTTTTACAGGCACAGCAATGAGAAAATTACACAAATTCTTACGTCCCCCAAACAGTATCGTTTAACAAGAGTTTGCTTCATAAAGAAAACTAAGAGCTTTAGAGCTACTTAAAAGTTTTATACTGTACTGTAAATGTTGCAGATGCTTAAAATTTCAGACGCTTCAAAATTTCGGACAGTACTATTTTCGAACACTTTTTTCGTCCGAAATTAAAATTGTCCAAAATTTTTTACAAGCAATGTACGCATGCCAGCATGCCGGATTTTGTGCCATGCGATGGTCGTGTAAAGGGTCATCCCTAACGAAAGAGCTGTTGCCCAGTGGTTATTACATTGTTCAGGCATAGTATTCATATGGGTCACTGTCAAGGAGCCACTGTCCTCGTATAGTGCTCTTGGGCGATGTGCTTATAAAGTCTCGCAGTGCCTGTCTGCCCCAGGCGTACAATTACATTTAGAAAATGGTGAACTATTGTAACACTAGCAAAACAAGTTGTAGGCAGGTGGAGCGAGGACTCCATTAGCCACACCCTTGCCGCTTTGACAAAATTGTAGGAGGTAACTATGACGGAAAACCATCCAAACCACAAAGATATCAGCATTACACCAGTTGTTTCATTCTGTGGATACCACCACCTGCCTAGTGATTCACTTAGTGGGGATAGGTATGTCTGTCAAATGATTCTTTCTGCTTGTTTATTTCTTTAGGGAAGGAATCTTGTACAGCTTAAGGAGTGAAGACACTTATGCTCAAAAGGAGATAGAGGAGCCACCAACCAATCTGCAGTTCTTGGATGTACTGAATGAATTTACATTCAGGCTGATTGCTCAGGACAAATCCGGCAAGACTGGAGTGTAAGAATGAGATGAGAGCGTTCTCATTTAAGAGCGTGTTTTCTTAGTCAAACAAACAGAACTAAGTATGGCTGTTGATACAACAGAACTCAAGGTTATCTAGTATTTGACTATCCTTTGTTTTGTAGAATTGTTGTGTTTGGAAATGTGGTCAAACACTGTCGCGAGTGTTTGATATATTACTTCAAGTTGTTTTATGCTGTGGAAAACAGAGTTCCAATGATCCTTTAAGCAACAGTACTGAGAGGCTTCTTCAGTTGCTCCTCCAGTCCCAAAATTTTGAACGGAATTCTTGAAAACTTAGATTTATAAAACAAAGTAGCTTGTACGTTAGTGTGATCTTTGATATATTTTTTTCTTGCAGTTTGGCATTTCTTGATGAGCATGCAAAAGAAATGTTGAATAAGAAGGGAGGCCAGTGGAGTCCGCTGATAACGTACAGAAATGGGTTAGCTGGGCAAGATGAAGAAGAGGAAGGTATGGAAAAAGAAAGAGATACAAGTCAACAAGCAAGGAAAGAACGAAAAATTGATCGTTCTTGCTCTGAGACATTGTGGATGAGGGGTTAGGGTATTGGTGAAAAAACAAACTCTCCGCTCGTACTCTTACTAGCTGTATTTTATCTTGATAGCTAGTCCCAACTTCAACTCGTCAGCCATGTGATGATTAACCACTGGTCTGTCACCTGTTATGTAACAGTCTCAACCATGTTATGCCTAGTAGAAATTTCCGTTTCTACTTTTTGAGTTGCTTATGTGAAAGGAAGCTGGTTTTTTTCTTTCTAACTAACTAAATTGTATTTGTCAGTTTAAATCCATTTGAAGAGAAGGCAGCAATAAAAAATCCCCACTTTCTCGTGTATAGCTTCCTCCTCCTTTCTCTCTTTTGTCATTTTTTGGTTAACGCTTTATGTGGTTTTTATGTTTACCTTATAGGACAGCCGAAACGGAGTCGGGCAAAGAGAAGACTGCCCATAGAAGGTGAACTTTATGTCATTGACAAATTATTTAAGCGTTATGTGTTGTTTTTGCACACTCTATTATTCTAATGCCTAAGAACTACAGCACACCTGTAGACCGTACGTAGGCAGTATGTAACAAGAGTTAAAGACTTTGAATGATTTGTATGCTGGATAGCAAGTTGTCTGGATGTCGAGTCATCTAACACTGCTTCTCCAATCGGAGGCGCAATGGCTAATGGTTTTTAGCGCGCTGGACTCCGGATCAAGCGGTCCAGGTTCGAACCCTGGCCGGGGACATTGCGTTGTATTCTTGGCCAAGACACTTTACTCTCACAGTGCCTCTCACCACCCAGNGGAGTAATCCTGTGATGGAGTGACATCCCATTTAGGGGTGGGGTAGAAATACTCCTAGTCGCTTCATTCTACGGAAACCAGGATACGTTCCACCTGTTTAGAACACTTGACCCAACACAGTCTTGACTTTACCCTACCTTGTGCTTCTCCGTGTAAATCGTCTTGATTTTTGGAACCTTTGTACCACCATAAAGATTTACTATAGTCACTAGTGATCTCGCAGTTTTACTAATTTTACTACGTTCTGTCCATTTTTTGACTGTCATGCTACGTGAAAGATTTCTGAAAAGGCTCTATTCGTCATCTCTTCTCAGTTATAATTTAATTTTCTGTTTGGTTTGTTTTTGTATTCATTTTGTTTACTGCATTTATAAGGAGACGAGAGTAAAGAGGGAGAGTGGCTATCAAAGCAAACTCGAGTGGCGGAGGTAAAGAAGAAAAAGCCACAGAAGCCAAGGGGGCCTCGCGGACGGCCTCCAAAATCAACTGCATCAACAGCTCAACAGACAGAGGCCCCCTCGGCAATACCTGCTAAACCTGTAAAACCTACCGTTGAGAAGGAGGCGAGTGATGATGATGACGATGATGCCATTTCTTCAGGATCAGGAGAATGGACTCAAGAGGAGCAGACGCCGCTGTCCTCTGTACAGAAGAAGAAACCAGCAGACGCCAAGGCTGAAGAAGAAGGAAGGGTGACTCCCACTGCGAAACAGGAACAACAAGAAAGAAAGCACGATGAACTGTCCCAGTCCGACGAAGAAAGAGATGAGGAACATGAGGACGGTGGAGAAGGAAGGGTGTCTCCTTCTGAGAGAAGAGAACAACAGAAGAGAAAGAGGGACGAATCGTCCCAGTCTGACGAAGAAGGAGACGAGGAACATGAGGACGGTGGAGAAGGAAGGGTGTCTCCTTCTGAGAGAAGAGAACAACAGAAGAGAAAGAGGGACGAATCGTCCCAGTCTGACGAAGAAGGAGACGAGGAACATGAGGACGGTGGAGAAGGAAGGATGTCTCCTTCTGAGAGAAGAGAACAACAGAAGAGAAAGCGGGACGAATCATCCCAGTCTGACGAAGGAGACGAGGAACATGAGGATGGTGGAGAAGGAAGGGTGTCTCCGTCTGAGATAAGAGGACAACAGAAGAGAAAGCGGGACGAATCGTCCCAGTCTGACGAAGAAGGAGACGAGGAACATGAGGATGGTGGAGAAGGAAGGGTGTCTCCGTCTGAGATAAGAGGACAACAGAAGAGAAAGCGGGACGAATCCTCCCAGTCTGACGAAGGAGATGAAGAAGATGATGATGGTGGAGAAGGAAGGGTGTCTCCGTCTGAGAGAAGAGAACAACAGAAGAGAAAGCGCGAAGAATCGTCCCAGTCTGATGAAGAAGGAGACGAAGAAGGTGACGACGAGGATCAGGATTTTGAAAGGTAACATTTGACGGAAATGTGTACATCTAAAACATCGAATTTAAGTGTCTGGAATGACACTACTGATATAAGACCTAATCATTCTCTACACAATTGTCTGACTGTGCGAGGTTGGTCAAGACTAAGACGAAGCGGCTTACGATTAACAAATCATCTTATTCGTCTTTACCATAGTAGCCCAGTAGTAAAACCCGTGTATTTTTTTTATTATTATTATTACAGTTAAATGGACCTTTCTTGCGATGCGGTGGTGATTTTGAATTGTATTGTGTAAAATAGCTATTTGGGGAGGCCTAAGCATCCCATAATAGCTATTTGAAACAATAGAATTCGAAATAGCCGCCATATCGCAGAGAAGGTCCATTGTTTCTTACAAAACATTGTCCGTTCAGACCAGGAGGGTCACCGTAACGTGGACATACCCGAGCTGCGAGGAAGCTGGGGAGACCTTACATTTTCCGGCCATTTTCGCCATTCTCCTCACTGCTCGAGTAGCGGCTCGCACGCCTTTCAGGTTGTTACTCCCCAGTTTAAAGCAGAACTCGCATTTGCTAGCCAATCATCCAGTCACAGCGCTTTTTATAAAATGTTAGATTTATACATCTAATCAGAACGAACGTTGTAATCATCAAGTTCCAAGAAAGCTTCTAATTGGTTAAAAATTTCTTTCATCTTCTGTGCGTCTAGTCTCCCAGCATCGTCACAAAGATCTTGGTTATCAAGTCAAAAAGCGCGCCAGGACAGCAAAAAGGTTCGGATAAGTTACAGTAAAAAGGATACTTCGGGCATCGGGTAAGTGTTGATATTACAACCAAGTAATTTTCTTGTTAAATTAGACACGAAAAATGTTGTCGAACGGTTCGCAAAATGGCTCTGAGTGTTATGGCCGCATTTGAAGTGACAATAGCGTGGAGTTAAGCAATGTCATGTTATTTAATTAGGTGTTTGATATTAAAATGTCTCCTTACTGTAAATGACCAGTAAGCTTGCCAATCTATATAGCTATAAGAATTTGCACTTTATTAAATGTAACAGTTTGTTCATGGGAAGCTTCACTTATTAATGAATGCGACAACACATTTTTATAGGTGAATCACAGTAATCTTTGCCTTTTATTAACGTTTCCAGACGTGCAAGTCTTGAAGATATCGATGACGAAGAAGACATTGAAGAATATGAAAGTGAAGACAACACAGACATCGAAAAGAAGGTAAAAAGACTTATAGAAAGGTACTCTAAAGGCTTACTCAGCTCAAGCCCTCTTCAGCACGCCCCTTCATTTTAGTCCCTGTTAAACATGGCCCCGTGTAAACGCGCATTTAATGGTTTGCTCTCGCTTTGTTTTAACGCTAATAGCAGACTGCAATTCGAGTGAGACGAGAGAGAAAAGAGCTTCCTGAAGCATTCTTTGGCGACTCACAAGAAGAAAAAGACACGGTAAGAACTGAAGCCTTTACTAGTCAATTTACCTGTGTCTTTGGTCGCATGATTGCTGAGTCACGCAAGTGACGGAAGATGAAGGGTTGGAGGGAACGTTAAGAGTATTGTACAGCTTACGGTACCAAAATTGGAGTACAAACCCCTTGTAAGACCCGTGCTGGGAAATGTTAGCCCGAGATGGTAGCACGGTCCGAACGCAGCGAGGTCCGTACAAAAGCGACCTCTGGCCATTATTTACCAGTACGGCTCCAGCAAGCTAGTTAGTTAATAGGTTATTATATGACACTCCATGGAAGTTGAAAAATTAAATTTGCCGGCTTCCAAAAACAAAAAATACACAGGTTATGATTGTTTCCATGGAAATGGTCCGTATCGCAAAATCCCGACCAAGAAGAACCATTCCGCAGGACGCTGGGATTAAGAGTGTTTTTAGGAGGACATACTGTTGCTATGGTAACCTATTGTGTCACGAAAAT